TGTGTTTATTGTTATGTTTGTGGTTGTATTTGTTGTTGTGGTGTTTGGGGTTGTGTTTGTGGTTGTGTGTTTGTGATTATGTGTTTATATTTATATATTTGTGGTTGGTAATTTAAAGTAATATTGGGATCGTGGGATTGAAATACAATATTTTCCGTATAATTTATTATTTTATATTTAAGATATTATTTATCAAATTATTTGGTATTTTCTTAATTTATTTGGTATTTTTTGATATTTTATTTAATATATGATTTGATATTTTATTTGGCAATATATTTAGCAATTTATTTGACATATTATTTGGCATATTATTTAATATTTAATTTGTTATTTTATTTGGAAAATTATCTGAAATATTATTTGGTATATAGAAATAGATTTTTTTTAAAACATATTTTTGGATATTTTATTTGATAATATATTTAATATTTTAATTTATATATTATTTGGTATATTATTTGGCATATATTCTTGCAACATTTTATTTTACCATTTATTTGACATTTTATTTGATAAATTATTTGGTTGAGGTTTAGCGGTATATATTACGATCGGATCTTTGCGATTGAGATTTAGGGATATATACTGCAATCGGAGCCTTGCGGTTGAGGTCTAGGGGTGCACATTGCGAGGGGATCTTTGTGTGTGAGGTTTAGGGGCGCACACTGCGGGGAGATTCTTGCGGTTGAGGTCTAGGGGTATATATTGCGATCCGGAGTTGGCTAGACAAGATCGGCAAAACAGATTGAAGAGGAAGGAAATAAGGAGGAAGGGAGGAGGAGGAGGAAGAACAATTATATAATAGAATCTAATAATCCTCACCTGGCAGGTGGGGAATAATATTTATTGAATTATATTAATGAAACAACACAAAAATATATTAATAATTAATGATTATAGATTTAATATTTATATAGAATTGATATAATTGATATATATAATGTATTTATATTGTAAAAATATTTTTTAAAGATTTATATTTAATAATTAATATTTAAAGATTTATATTTAATAATTAGATATTAATGATTTTGTGAAAATATTGGATATATGTATTTATATTGATTTATTTTGGATTTATGTTGGCCTAGCAAGGATTTATATTGTGTTATTTGGGGTCTATATTGAGATTATCTTGGGTTTATATGAATTTATTTTGGATTTATGTTGGTTTAATTTTGGTTTAATATATGTATTTGTTTTGAATTTATATTGATGTATTTTGGGATTGTGTTGGGTTATATTGGGCCTTTAAGGGACCGATATTATTTGAATGATTATGGAAGATTATGAGGGATAGAAAGCATTATAAGATATAGGAATTTTTATAGGTCCGCGGTTGAATATCGGGGATTGGCGGCAGGGGGATGCATTCCTTATAACCTTCGGTTAATCGAAGGCCCTCCGGACGAAATACGGGATTACGGCGCCCTGATTTTTAAGAAATTCATATTATTGGAATTCTATAATTTATATATTTTTGGCTAGGGGATGATTTCGGACCTCCACTTTTGAGGCATTTATATATTACTCCAACATACATATTTTCATTGCTTACTTCAACATCTGACATCTGGCTTCATTGCTTATTCCAACATCTGGCTGCACCAACATCTGGCTTCATTGCTTATTTCAACATCTGGCTTCATTGCATACTCCAACATCTGGCTTCATTGCTTACTTCAACATCTGACTTCCAATTTCATTATTTACGTATCATTGCAATAAACAAATTGATTTGCAAACCAAACCTCTAATTTGCAAACTCATTCCTTCATTATACATAAATGTTGCTTATGAGGTGGGGGGTGGGGGGGGGGGGGGGGTGTGTTTTGGGGGTGGGAAGGGGGGGGGGGGGGGGGGGGGGAGAGGATTCTTGATCTAAAAAAGAAAAGGGATGGACCAATGCAGATTTATGGCATGAAATTGTGAATCATAGCGCAGGAGAAATCATCAATACCAATGCATTCACTACGAATGACATTGAAAAAAAGTTGGTCATTTGTAAAAAGATGGGTTCGCAAGCGTGAAGGCGGCAAAGTGGCTTCACATAGCAACCGCCAAAGGTGGAAATGCCCTTTAAATAAATATCGGTGGGAAAAAATGCACGCCAAAGCTAATAAAGATATTTATGTAATGCCCTTGACTATCACAATGGAAGCCATGCAGCATCTGCACCAGATCTGGGCTAATGCTCACAAAAGCTTCGGGAAAAAAGAAAAAATATTCCTTTGCGTTTGGCATGTTTATGTTTGCTTGCTGTTCATTTGCTTGTTTCATGTGTAACTTGTGTGCATATATTTTGCAGGCATTTTCCCTGAGCACAATCCTTATTTCGTAGTCAGACTGTTTAATACTAGTAGATCATGCCGAAATCTCCGCGCATGCAGCTCTCTGTGGAAGCCTATATGAACGAACGACAATACATCACTTTGGAGCTCATGGGCAATGTGTCTCAAAGCACCTCTTCAGAAACTACTTCTTGTCCTGTTGTTGCTGATATCATGGAAAACATTGGCAATGAAACAATCGTTGTGCATAGTGACAGGGCGGCAATCACTAAAAAGCAAATTCAAATCCAAATCAGCACCATCAGACGCGATGCTGTGAACCAGGGAACCCTGGCACAAGGTATTGCTTGGTCGAGTAACTGCCAGACGGCGTTGCTTTCTTGGTTACAAACCAAGAAAGATGGCAGTGTTCGTTCGGCATCAATTTCCCAAGGCAGTGTTCCAGTGCTTGCTCTTCCTGCACCTGTTCTTCCTGCAGCAGAAATGCCCAATGATGACCAACATGGAGATGGAGATGGAGGTAGTGGTTCTGATTCTAGTTCTTCGGATTCATCATCGTCTTCTTCATCAAAGAATCCGGAAGCAGAGAAACAAAAATCTGTGGAACTCGAGGCCACGCCAATGTCAACTTCTACACCCCGGGCACCGTTGACGCAAGTGCTTTTCCAAGAATTGCTAGATGCAATGGGACACCATCAGGAATCGAGGAAGAGAATGATCGCCTGCGCCATGAAAATCAACGTCTAAAGGATGAATTTGCCCAACTGAAACGTTCTTTGTCTTTGTAAAAACTATGAGTTGCTGTCTGGCTGTCTGGGAAAATTGCTAAAGCGAGCGCGGCCGAAACCATCACATAATCATATATTTATATTGGATATATTAATTTTAGATATAATGAATTAAAATTAATCTATTAAAGAGGTAAAAAAAATAAATATAATAATATATAATTATATATATATATTTATTATTTAATTCTGTCTTTATATATATTATTAATAATGAAAAAATATAAATATAGAAATGAATTTAATTTATTATAAATTGTAATTAAAATCTAAAATTATTCGATAATATTTATTTATATATTAGGACGGGATATATATAGGATATATATGAAATATATTCGATTCGCTTTATGAATAATTTTCAATATATATCAAAATATTATTTAGATTTATATTTAATGTTATATATTTATAATAAATATATATTATTGTTTTTTTGACCTATTATTGATATTTGTTTGTTTTTTATTCGGATGATATATTTATTAATTTAATACAATTGATTTTTATTAATATGTCTATATAATATATATATTCAATGGAAATTGATATAATTCCCATTTTTTAAGATTATATTTATATATAGACAATAATATATATATTGATATATAGAATATTAATTGTATATTATGACATATTATAATTATAAGAACATATTTATTTAAGAATTATATATATTTATTTAAATAATATTGATTTATTTTATTTTATATATTTCTATTAAATAACAATTTTCAAATGATATTATATATATATTATATTATGCATATATATTTATTTATTCTGATATAATTTGCCTA